AATTCTGTTGATCTGATTTCCTCTCCCTCCCACTGCTCCTGACCATGAATATCTTAACCTCCAATAGGTCAGTTGATGACTAAAAAAAAAGGCTCTGAGGTAGGAGCAGTAGTTTCAGAACAGTTTAAACCCATAGTTCCCTCTTAGAATCAGATTAAATATAAGGAACAAAATGAATGTATTATGGTATGGGGGAACCACAGTCACCACCACCAGATGAATACACCACCTACCGTATGAGCACCCAAGCATCCACTAGTAAGAGAAGTAGTAAGTCAGTCTCTTTCTATTCTATTCCTATTCAAGGGGTGGTGTCGACATGCAGCTTAAGGCTACTTCCCGCAACAGCAAAAAATTGGTTTTCTGAAGGGATATTTTTGAGTCTGCAAACGGAACCAACCACTCAAAATTTTAAAGTGATTTGTTCAATTCCCTGGAGTAATTATTCTCAGATGTTAGAGAGACAATTCAGATATCAGCATTCTAACTTTGCAGGTCATTTTAGAAGACACATTCAGCTCATGTCTTTCTTACCTATTTTTATAGGTCAAAATAAAAGCAATTTTCTTTCCCTCATGAATCTAAAAGTGAAGTATTGTGAGGAGTGATGTGAAGTGTCACCCTTTTGCTCCAGGTCACTTGGAGCAAGTCTACACTAGAAACTTGAAGCGGTGTAAAGGCACATAGGGATGTGATTTTTTGATATCACTATGCTGGCAAAAAGCCCTACTGTAATTGCAGTTTTATGTGTTTATAATTCTTTTCCTGATACCATTATTCCAGTACTCATCAAATCCGTACATTCGCTCCCTTTCTTCTCTGTCTCTACAACAGGCTGGTGCAGACCTGAGCTGAAGAGCTGACCAGCTGTATAACAGTACACACATCATATGAAGGAGTAGTAAAGGCTGTTCTGACCAGGGCTGATGAAAAGGCTAAATCAACACTAATGGAACTCCTGTCACCTCTTGGCCCAAACCAGTGAAGAGAGTCATCAGGAGAAGAAATGATCTTCTGAAGGCTTTTTCTGACCCACTGCAGGATATTAGATAAGAAGAAAAAAAGAATTTTTGTCAATCCATGCAATACTATACCTCTGAATGTGTAAACAGATTTCCCAGAAGTTTTATCACCTGATGGTACCTGGAGACCACATTTAGAGCTGTGAGGAGCGATTTCTCGCTACAAACTGTCTGCAGCTTCAGTTAGCAATGCTACAGCTGGGGGAAAGGTAAATTGCATGGTAATAAGCAAGGGGAGAGGATATGGCAATTGAAACCATCAGGATGCTCAAACAACTCACTTTCAGATTCTATTTTTATACACCTGAAAAACAGTATTTCCAGGGTGATCTTTTTCTTGCTTATTATTTTATTATATTAAAAATAATTCTTAACTGACACAAGAATCTCAAGGAACATCTAAGTAATGTTTATACTTATGAAAGATTGAAATTGGTTACACACAAAATACTGTCAAACTACATAAATAAACCAACCTGAAATTCAAGACAAAAAAATATTTTCAGAAGTATATTTTTCAAATTTACTGTGTTCCTTCTATTAATTAAATTGCACTGGTTTTATACTACCTATAATCTGATATCACAGTGTATGGTCACTAGAATATGAAAGCATAAAATGTGTAAATGATAAATGTCACAATAGTATTTGTTTTCATATTTCAAATATATTAGGAAACATGACTTCCTTTATTATTCATGCTTTTTCCTCTGAAGACATAAAAAGCAGCCTACAGAAATCTCCAAGCGATTTTCCACCTTCAAGTTCAGGAGACATATCAGGATGAAATCGTTTTTTAACAGATTCCTCTACTGTATCCAAAGAAATTCAGTAAAACATTGTAATAATAATTTGAATGGTGTCATTTTAGCTTTAAAAGTATGATGGGAGCAATTACACACACCTGTCTTAGCAGCAGGCATGGAAAAAAGAAATGTAGAAAACAACACCTCTGGAGAGCTTCATCAAAGAAATTGCAGGCAGAAACCAGGCCTCCAGTCACTTTTAGCCCTGACTGGGCAGATGACGTTGGATCCCAGTCCCAGCAGTGACATTTCTTAACTGCTCAGACCTTGAAAGCAAGTATCAGAATTACTGTGATTCAAGTGTTCATCTGTGAAATTACTCTCTTCCTAGAACATCCTCATGCTTGTGCTACTACTTTGCCAATTACTTAAAAATGCCCCTGCTGAATGGATGATGATGTTTACTATGCATCATGACCTTCACTATCCTCATTCTAAGAGAAATGATATAGGTTAAAGGCTAGGCTGCAGTGTTCACATGAAATAAAGTAACTTCTTATTTGAAAGATGCTGCTAGTTCTGCACAAACACAGAGGAAACTGTCAAAACACAATCTAGGTGCCAGCTACAAAACACTTACCAAAATGCTTTAAAAAGCAGGAAAGTCATGATTCATCAGTCAGTTGAAGAGTTTTACTTACATAAGTGCAAGGTAGAGACCTGAATACGCTTTTACATTTATAAGAGGTTTATATTCAGCAAATAAAATTAATTTTCATTTCCTCATCATTCAACTCATTCAGTCCTACGTTATGACATCAATTATTTTACCTTTTGTTAGGAAAGGATTTTGCCAATATAAGGGCTTTGTCTGCTTTGGGGAAATTATTCCTCCCCCAGTCACACTGATCAACTTTCTCACACAGACTCACAGATCTTGTATTATGGTCCATTTCAGGTACATCCCAAGTCCCAGTTCTGAAAAAGATGCAAAGAAATTAAAAACCCCTCAAACTAATAATAAACTTTCTTTGCTTAGTTTTAAAATGAATCTTAGTTTTGCAAAATCTATTTTTGCAGGACAGGGTTTTAGTCGGATTCTGTCTCTACTTACTCTTTAATTGGATATATATCTCATTTCAATCACTTCATTAGGGATGAAAACATATTTGTCAGTGAGACTCAATATAAACCATTTTTATGACTGTTCAATATTTAATCTCCGTGCAGTTGACATCTAATTGTTGTTGACATTTAATTGCATCAATTTCTAAAGATCCCTTTTGTAAAAGAGCTTGCAGTACAGGGCACGCAGCCCATGTACCCTCACTCCAGGATCCCAGTGTTGTAATTGGAGAGATGATTCCTAACCCAGGTGTTCGACTGTGTGGAGAGAGAATTTACTTCTGCTGTTTATACATACAGACTATATAGACTCCTCGCTTCAGGCAGTGCAAAAAATACCAAATGCCCATAATGTGACTATTCTGCTTAATCTGTACATAGCTTTAGACAAACGTAAATAAAAATATTGATGAATTGTTATATACATATTTGTATATGTTTAATTTTCCTACTAAATAAATTCTGCTGAGTGCATCTGCTGTGTCATGTTACAAATGAAGAGCAGAACTACCAAAGACATCTGCCTGCCAGATGCCCCCTTTAGCTTGTGTGGGGTACTGGTGAAGCACTCCTGTGATGGGTTTTCAACATAGCCTCGACAGTTGGGAGAATGAAACATTTTAGGTGCCCTTTGAGCTGCAGGCACAGAGTCCTCTCAGAGCTGGAGGAGAAGTTTATTACATGGAAAACACCATTCTCTGCTCTCATCAGATGTTCAAATCCCAGACTTCTCTGGCACTTTCAGCATCATCACACATCACTTTTTCATATATTTATGCGGTTCCTCCTCAGATGTATATTGCACTCTGCTCTTCACCCCGTTGCCTGGGAGCGAAGACAGCCTTAGTTCTTGATTTGAAAGCCCGTCCGAAAGACAGTGCCACAGAGCTCTGTGGTGGTCAGGAACACATGGTGTTGGCACAGGAGCACTGCTGTCAGGTGGGAGTCTGGGTTATAGGGGCTTGTCTGTAGGCTCACAGTCACAGTGACCTCCTTGTTGCTTGTCTTTTGCACATCTTTTGGGCTTTCCCATGGAAAAAAATTGTGTTTAAGAGAAGACCCGTCTTTTATCTTAAGTTGTTGTTATGGGGAAGAGCTTTAAGTCCCTAAACACAGAGGCTGAGGGAGGGCAGGGGAGTTCCTCTGTACTCTCCTACAGGAGAGGACACTGTATGCCAGATCTCTGGATGCCAGGAGAGAAGACTAAGACACCAACATGCTCCCCCACAGAGTTGTATGAGCATTGGACAGACACTGAAAGAACCTCAAGCTCTGTAACAGTGGGTATTTATGGTGAACCTAGAATGTAAATAGACATTTATGTTGTGGTGAGTGGTCTGCTGATCTAAAGGATGTGGATAGGTTTTGCAGAACTAGGTGTTATTGTAGGGTTACTACGGTAGCATAAGGTATTACTGTGGTAATTTGGTATTATACAGCTTAACTGGTTTTGTTTGTTTGTTTGTTGAACTACACAAATCTTCTGTGTGTTGTCATCATACTTATAAAATACCAAACCCAATCCATCCCAGTCAGCCCCAGCAAGAGTAGCCATGACCTCCAGCTTTGTCTTTTAGGCAAGCCTCATAAAAACAAATCTTCGGTGTCCAACTTAAATTAACCCCCAAATTTACTCAGCATTAAGACAAACAAGACTTTAAAAATGATGACAGAATTCATTACTGTTACCTTCCATGAGTTTTTACCAACCACGGCTTCTATTAAATAAAAAAGGCCAACGACACGTTAAACGCCCTCCCGCCCGCCGGCTGCCGCCGCACCTCGCGCCGCGTGAGGAGAGGCCCCGCCCCGCACGCGCCCTGC